ACGACTACAGTTTACTACTGAAGGCAGTACTGGTCTACTAGTATCTGTTTCTTTTTCAGTAATAAAGTCTGTATCTTTTGAAGTTTACCAAAAAACCCTAACTTTAAGTACAGAGAAAGCTAAGTAGCTCAGGTACATTTCCACATTAATAGAAGCTGGTTTATAGCATTAAACAGCCATCTCCATTTTAATAGGTGGATGAGGATTATAATCTTCAATCTGAAAGTCTTCTGCCTTAAAGTCACTGATGTCTTCAACCTTACGAAGAATTTTGAGTTTGGGGAAAGGTCTTGGCTCCCTCTGAAGCTGAAATAAAAGCAAGCTTATTGTATAAAGCTAATACTTGAAGGCAGAGATTTTGTGTTATAAATTAGATCTCATTAATCTCAATTCAGATTACACCATGTTGATTTTCCCTCCTCCCCAAGACGACTTATACTCAAAAAAAAAAAAAAAGGAAAATTATAATACAGCTAGGTGAAATCTCCTTTAGTACTTTGATAGGGAGCAGTAGGTTAATATTAAAGTGGATTCCCTGATCATCCAAATGCACTGCAAGCATCTTCAGTTTGCAGAGCAGTTGTGGTGGTTACAGTAGATTCCTTCCAGAGGAAACTAAATGGGAAATTCTGAACGAGATGTGCATCAAATGTACTGCAGTTTCTCACAAGAACATTCGGGTCCAAACCAGTAACTAGTTCTCTGGATGGTTTGGAACCATATGAACGGTGAGGACATTCAATCCGAGCTAAGTCTAATCAAATAAAATTCTGATTTGCTCCTACTGCAACAAATTACTTCCTGAAGAAAATATGGCCTTATTCAGCCAAATAGCTGATGGGCTCTGTGAATTGGTAAGTTATCCTTTTCTGATACACTACAAAGACATTTTCTTTTGTGTTTATCTGTATTAGGTGGAATGGTTTTCTAAGGTTTTGGAATGATGAAGTCAAAAGCAGGGGTACAGATTCTGGATCTCTAATTTGGTTCTAGAATAGTACACTGATATATATTTCAGTCACATCTGTACAGTATTTCTGTTTGTGACCTGAGTTGAACAGAGGTTAAGGTATTACAATTACTAGGGTAGAAATGAAAAGAAAAGCCACACAAATTAATATCTGCAAAAGGATATTTATAATAGCAAAATAACTTTGTATCGGATAAGCATTGTGAAAGATAAAAGGATACAAGAATACAGAAGTACTTACTTGAACTTTTAGAGGTTCCACGTGATTCAGATATATGTGAGCATCTCCTAATGTGTGTATGAACTCTCCAGGCTGAAGAGAAAGGAGAACACATGTGCTTTTCAAATAGTCAGGTTTTAAGAAAGCAAAACATTACAACGCTTACAGTATTGATTCTTAGCATCTTACATCTAGTGTGGAATTACAGCTTCTGTACTGGATTGGATTATCAAGACATCCTTGCAAGCTTTGAAGGACACTATCTTCCCAGACTAAAGCATAATTAATGAAAAATACAATGAAATTTCCACCAATTTACAAAAAAATGTATATTTGAAATCCTACTAGGATAATAGCTTTGGTAAATCAATGGAGCACTGCTGATCTACCCACCAAGATGGAAACAGATGGGGCAGTGACATCCAGCTTTTCCACTCCACTTCTAATAAGCAGGACTTGCCAAAGCTGGTTTCAAACTAGTTGCCTTAGCCACTACTAAACAATGTAGTTTGTGGCAGCAGCAGTGTCAGTCACAGGCTAAATCCCAAAGCACTTACCTAGCATCCAGACGGGTTTTGCAAGCTTGCAAGTTCTGTGATTTAGTAGCCCCCAGGCAATCTAATTAAACTTAGGTAAGTTTTATTGGCTATTTTACCGGCCTCTGACCATCGTAGATCAGCCCTCAGATATATTATGCTAAAAACCACCAAAGCTGTGAGACGAAGTAGCTGAGAGGCAACAGCTGCTTTATGGACATAATGTTAAACTTCACTTTCTTTTAGTACCTTTCTTAAGTATGTCTGCAATTGCTCTGAAGTCCGATTCTTCCCTACTTCCCTATTTTAAGCTCCCTTTCGTATTGCCAGTAGCAGGAGGATCAGGCCTAAATGGCCTTGCTAGTACAGTTTTTTACATTCTAAAGAAAATGGGGTTTCACTTGTACAAGATTGTGGTGCATTTAAATTACTCTGTCAAATTACAAAATACAGGTCTGGAGTCTAGGCAGTAGCTATTTGAGCACATAGTACCACTCTACATAATCATCTACAGTAGGAAATGGAAAAAAATACTCAGCTGAAATTATAGCTGGAAGTTAGGTGGGCAGAATATCCAAACTGGAACCTTGACAGCAACCACTGAGCTACTGTTCACTTCCAATAAAAAACACATGCTACAAACTTTAGTCACTTGTATGTTATTATCCCATAAGGACAAGTGCTCTGTTCAGATTTCTAAGTAACGCTAGTGGAACAGATCAGTTTCGACACATTCAGTTAAAAGACCTGGAGGATCTTCTGTCTGCTTGACCTGAATTTAAGAATTCTTACATTGCTGATCCTAACTGCCCATGCAGACCAGAGACAATTCACATTAAATTCATGGTGCCCTTTCTTACACATATTTCAGCAAGATTTTGAACAGTACATTCATTCCAGTTTTTCTTGGACATGACACAAAGAGTCTTATCTTTTAGTCCCTCACTTCTCAGACAAGATTAAGTAAAATGATTAAATAGCCTACCTTTAGCCCTGTGACATGGGCAATCATGTATGTGAGCAGTGAATAGCTGGCAATATTGAAAGGCACTCCTAGTCCCATATCTCCAGACCTCTGATAGAGTTGGCAAGACAATTCACCATTTAGAACATAGAACTGGCAAAGCGCATGGCACGGAGGCAAAGCCATCAGAGAAATATCTAGGAATTGCAGTGCAGGAAGAAGAGGGGGAAAAAAAATTTGTAACAGCATTAGTGTTATAAACATAGAAGATGCAAAACCTCAGCAAGCATTTCATGAGACACAGTAGAGAGTACAAATCCAACTGCACTATTATTCTGTTGCTTTTCCTCTTGTTTAAAAGCACCTGCTGGCCGAGCAATTAAGTCTGGTCATGACAAGCTGTCTCCTGGGCTGTATGACCAGAAAAGTCATAAACAGATATTCCAGAGAACAGATTTATGCCATAATGCTGCACAGCAGTTTAGTTTTTACTCACCTCGGTGAGACAGTTGATTTCCCTAAAGGGAGATGTTAAGAGCAAAATTAAGGACATACCCTAAAGCAACTTCCAACTGCTTCATCTTACTTTCTTCCCATTGCAACATGCCTTTACTGCTTGTTGAGATATAAAAGTAATGGTCAATAAAAAAATAATAATCAGAAAACAAAAGATCTTTTGAGTGTTTATCTACACTTGAAACTGCAGATAGTACAATTACAGTTTGGTAAGGAAAACTTTAACCAGGTATCTCCTGATATCTGAGAATGTTTAACCTTAAAAATAACAACAGCAGTCTGTGGCACCCCCTTTCAGAGACATGAGTGGAAATGCTGTGTGATTTTTTTTGTGCACAGATCTACTGCTGCTGAAGTTAAACATTCTCTGGCACTAGCTCTTATTTAGAAGTAGCCTAACAGAGTGAATAGGTATCTAGACAACCTATGTTCAAAGAGATGATTACAACACAAATATTTTTGTTCTCTAGTTTTAAGTTTTGGCGTTGGGTTTTTTTAGGTTTACAATTTGTTATATGGCTAAAAAGCAGTCACGCTGCGCTGGTATACTCTTTTTTGGTTTTGTTTTCTTAACCTTTTAAAAATAAGAATTGCTGTCTTTGAACAGAGATTGTATGTCAAAGACACCGGTAGCCGGGTATATCCCTCACTTTAACCTGGAGAGAAAAACTTTGATGTAATGGTTGAAAATTTTGGAGGTCTGAACATGAGAATTAAGTAGAAACAGGATCAAGCTTATAACCCCTGGCCATTTTTACTGCATTCCTAGTAGTTTTATACAGAATAAGCAAGGACACCAAATGGAACTGACTGTTGTCATAGGATTAAAACATGGTGTAGCATACAGCAAGGTAATGTGCAACTGCATTCACTTCGAGTATGCTGTTCAATACCTTTGGGATTCCAAGCACACATAATGATTCTTCTGTCATCTGGATTCGTTTTGATCGTTTCAATCACTTTTTGCAACTGATCAACTCCTTGGTTGGAGTAATCTGAAGAAAGATACCAAATAACATGTAAGCCAGACAGATTCAAGTGATGATAATTTTTTAAAGCCCAGCCCACATCCCACTGAAAAGTGATACCCAAATGACAACCTCTGAAGATTTTATTGTAACTTTGAAAGTCATTAAATTCAGCAGTTGGCACCCTCCAAATGTAGGCTATTCTTGGTTCTTCCTTAGGGTGCTCTAAGGCTTCTGAAATTCTTGTGATGGTATTTTCGTATGTCCCCCCATCTCTCTTGTGTGCCTTGAGTACCTTTAGCATTCACTGAAATAGGACCATTCCTATTTAGAACACTTTATTCCAAGCCTCAACAATTAGACATTTTTTAAGACCAAATAAGAAGTCTGCATAAACACTACATCCCAGGAAACAAAATCTGCAATACAAAAAAATTAGTTGGACAAAGCATGTTACTTTACCATTTATGATGATTTGTTACCTAAATAGGACAAAAGCTGTACTGGAATGGGCAAGATACTACCACCTACTCACTAGTATTTAACCTAATTCTCTCATTGCGTTTCTTGATTAAGATGCCTTTCCAGATGTTAAACTTGCATGCTACAGTGCTCCTTCTTAAATAAATAAAAAAATAATAAAAAAATTATGCCCAGACCAGTAACATAGGGTGCCAGCATTCTTTGCATGCTCAAAAGGAGAAAGTTTTTGACAGATGAACAAACGCATTCATCTAGCACTCACAAGGTCATGTATGAAAACTAAATTTCCATAGCATTCAGTGCCAGAATGGAACTTTAATCACGTACAGCACAGGATATCACATTTCACCCAACGATGCTCGCAGGCTGATTTTTAGGGTCAATACCAGTTATACAAGAAACTCACTGGAATTAACTGAACATTAGAATAGATTCCAGAACAAAAGAGTCATTACTTGTTACTCATTGTTCTGATCCATGCCAGTGAATCACCATGGCTGGTAACTAATTTTTTCTAATAACTCTTATTGCAAAGCAACACCAAATTATGGTTACAGGGAGACCCAAGCTGGCAAACAAAGTAGTAATATATAATTAGCATCTTAGGGAATTCTTCTGCCAGCAATATTGTGCCAGAAGCTTTTTCAAATGGTTATGTTAGTTCCTGAAGCTAATTACCTATCCGTTAGTAATGCATTTTAAGGAAATCTATCAGCAATGAAACCTCTGGGAATTTATCTTATTCATTTTTTGCAAGCTATATTATGCCTCAGACCTTTTAAGTTCAGGAATGCTGAAACATTTTAGTAAGTTTTCAGAGGTGTCAGTTCACAATTTGCATCATTTATGTTAGCATAAAACTGTGTTCTGCCAGCAATTAACATGCCAATACTATCTGTAACTAATGAGAACATTGAGATTGCATTGACAAAAAAAATAAGAGGAAAAAACATAGTTAGCCATGTTGTTATTTTCAGTTAAAAATCACACCAAACAGCAACAATCTTTTACGATTCTGTTTTTTAATGGCAGTCCTCCAAATGCTTTGTACACCCTCTCCTTCAGTGACTTAGAAAAGAGCTATCAAGACGCTTCAGAGTATGTTTAATGAACCAGTTCCACTGAAAGTGATACCAACAGGTACTGCATCACATCATAACTTGTTACAGCTATTCTGTCCACAGCATCAGCAGCTATGGATACATCCTACATTGCTCCAGCACCAGAATGGAAAAATCTTTCTCTTCCACAGTATTTCTACAGTGAATGTAGTGCACTAACATCAGTTCTTGCCAGCACAACTGCATCATGGAAATTAGGTCCCTGCATTGGTATTCTGGAAGTGAGGTGTCACAATTATCTTACTAAGCAATCAAGACTGTATTTGTATGCGATTACCTGTGCGCATATCTTTGTATTCTGCTCCAAAGTGCCTCCACTGGAAACCATAAACTGGTCCCAAATCCCCCTCCTCTCTGGTACTGAAACCCTGCTTATCCAGGAACTCACGTGATCCATTAGCATCCCAAATCTTTACACCCTTTGCAGAGAGCTCTTTAGCATTTGTAGAACCCTACAAAACACAGACAGCAAGAAGTCTACACCCTAATCCCAACACAGAGGACATGATTTGAAACAGCTGTATTCAGCTTTGCTAACCTACAGTATTTCTCCACTTATAAAGGATGAACAGTCTGATTAATGTACTGGATGAGGTTCTTGCACATGGACAGAATAAAACTTCTGAGCACCATACTAGGATGAAGTTTGAAGTGCCATGCTGCTGTTATTTAACTCAGGATTCTTCTAACTTTGTGAATGCACAAACAGTACAGTCTCAAGGTCAACTGTGCTATATCAGTTCATATGTACATTTGCAAAGAACAAGGTTTTACTTTACAGATGGATAAAAGTAGATGAACAAAAAATTTACAGCCCAGGCGTTGTCTTTGCCAAGCCACCTATAATGAGGTTAGGGTCTTAAAAATCCTTTTGTCAAAATTACAGTTATGACAACATGACCCAGAGAAATCTCTCGAGTTCTGCAACACATCCAAATCAGCACACTCAAAAATCCAACATAGAAAGTGTTCTGTTTAGGGGAATGTACAGTCTTTTATATTTGAAAAAAGATACTTAAAAAAAATGCATGTGTATTTGAGTCCTGCTATTCAGCAAAGGATTAGGTAGACTTTCCCATACCTGCACAATGTCACAACATATAAAGGAACACTTACATCGTAATGTATTACCTACAGTTGCATTTTAATACTCTAACCACAGCTATTAGGTCTATTAGATCTCAGGTTCTTGCTACTAAAAAGCCTAGAGTTTACATCGGTCTTACTTCACCTGTGGTTCCATACTGCTTGTTTCTGTTCAAATCAATAAAAGCTATTTCAACATTAAAAAGCAAATGATTAAACTACCTACTATCTACTTCATATTATTATTTGTTATTCAAGCACTAACAAAAGAGACTGTACTAGGCTTTATAACTGTGAGGTTGAAAGCCCTCACTATTTCAGGCTATTTCACTGGAAAAGAAACAGAAGAACTCTTCTGATTGGTAACAATGCAACAGTCTCACTAAAATGCACAGAACGTCTTGAAGGTAATGGCCTTCCATGTGTAGTCAAAGTATTAGGTGGCTGCACTCCTTCTGTCCTGTCATACGAACAGAAGCACCTGCAGTTACCTCAAATTCCTTAATCCACTCCACACTCGTTCATTCTGTTGGTACCACTCAGGCATACCACCCACACAGACATCCAAATATCGAACCTTGATGAACCACAGCAGCTCCTCCAGCACTCCTTTCCAGAACACCCTCTTGGTTGTTAGCAGTGGAAACTGATCTGAAAAAGAGCTTCAGAGCATGAGGTGACCAGCAATTTGTCAGCGTGACTCAACTTAGGTTTTTCTCCACAGAGGGTCATGCCACAGTCTCGACACTCAGAGGTTTGGATATGAAGTAAGAAGTTGGTAAAGGATGTGTAATTCTCATACTCAGATCAATTAAGACAAGAATGTGACATTTATTTTCCTGGACAGAGGGGGACGATAAATCATCTGTGGGGACTTTGATGAACTCTGCCATGAGGGCACCACAGTGCAGCGTACGGATGTACATATAGGCATTTGCAACGGAAAGCGGAAGCTTAAGATAAAATTTTTGGCAAATCTATTTCACAAACCATCCTTCCTATGCTGGAATGGTAGGAAGGACCGGGACGGGTTATCTCAAGATCTCACCCGTTTTTTCACCAGGTGACAGCTGCGGGGTGGGACAAGGCCTGGCTGTTGGGCCGAGGGAGAGGAGGGGTCCGAGCTGCCGCAGGCTGGCGGGCAGGGAGAGGCGAGGGCGGAACTAAACGTCTCCGCAGGCCCCCGCAGCGGGCCCGAACCCCGGCCTTCAGCTGGGGGAGGCCTCGCTCTCTAAGGGCAGGAGCAGGACAGCCCCGGGGGAGAAGATGGCGTCCCCTCCCCGCG